ATCAGTTTCCGGGTTCTAAACCCTAACCACCGCCGCTTCCGCACCCGCGCGCCGCCCCTGGGGCGATCGGCCTCCATGACCGCCACCAGGGGCCGCGCCGCCCGTACCTAGGGTTCGTCCGCCGGTCGTGTTGGCTGGCTGCCCTAGAGAGTCTTTTTCTCGAGCCCTTGCTCCGGGTTTTTTCGCTCTCTCGCCGGTCGTTTTGATCGGCGTTTTTTCTTTTTGGTTTTTTGATCTAAGATCGGTTTGCATCGCCCGCCGCCACCGTCGACACCTCGCACCTCTACTCCGACATCGGCGCAACTGGCCGGCTACTTCACCGACCCGGCGGCCTCGCGTGACAGGCAGTCCTCAAGGCCGTCGTCCGCGCGCCGGACCGCCCGTTGTCCACGCGCCGGCCGTCACCGCCCTGCTCCGACTGGGACTCCTGCATCACCCAACCCGGCGGCCATGCGCCATGCGGCGGCCAATCATAGCCGCCCTGTTGCCCGCCGTCGCCGGCTTCATCTCGGACTCCGCCACCACCCCGTCTCCATCGAGCGGCATCCCCGACCTCGCACGTGATCGGCTTGATCACCCGCTCGCCGCCGCGATCCGCCTCATCTACCCGCGCAACCGACCTGGCCCGTCGATTACGCGCGCCTCCGCAGGTCCCGTGAAGATCGTCCCCGAGTTCAACGCGCCTCTCCACCGATCGAGCATCGGGCTGCCGCTGCGTCGCCCCGTCGATCGCAGCGCCGCCGCCCCATGGTTCTCCTCGCGGCTGCATTGACTCGTGCGTCGCCGCTGCGTCGCCCCTTCGGGTCGTAGTGTCGCGATACGCATTCCCCGCCGCCGCCCCAAGGCCGTCCCCGCGGTTGCACCGACTCGCGGACCGTCATTGTGTCGCCCCTTCGGGCCGCAATGTCGCGGCTTGCGGTCCCCGTCGCCTCCTCGAAGTCTTCCTGCAGTCCGCCCCAACCCGCTTCCCACCGTTGCGTCGCCCCGTTGGGCCGTAGTGCCGCGGCCCACGATCCACTTCGCCATCACCATGCGTCGACCTCCCATGGTATGCGTCGCGCCGTCTCCCTTGGCACGGGAATGCCATCATCCGTGCCGGTCTTCGTCACGCTGTCAGGGTTCTTCGCCTACTTCGAGCACCGCCGCCGCACTCCTAACCTAGCCGCCGCCACCGCCATCAGGCCGCCGCCGCCTCTCTTCTTCGGCCGCCGCCGCTGCTACCTCCGTAGCCGACGCTGCCGCCCGTCCACCTTCCTTCATCTTCGTCCAGCACCAGCCCGTCGCCAGCGTCGCCGTCATCTACCCCGACCACTTCGTCTACTCCGACCAACGTTCGTGACATTGGCCCCGCGCCGATGGACGCCGCAATCGTCATCGAGTCCTTCTCTGCTGGCCTATCTGACTTCTTTGACATGGCATACAACTCGTGCAGGTCCCAGTCTCCGCATGCCCAGTGCTGGCAACACCGGTGCGTGCCTTCGTCCACAATGTGTCCCCGGGTCTGGCAAGTCTGGAGAGGCACTTCGTCAACTTCGTCTTCGTATGTCTATGCATGCCCGGTGCTGGCAACACCGACGCGTGCCTTCGTCTACGATGTGTCTCCGGGGTTGGCAACCCCGGCGCGACGCATCATCAACATCATCTCGTTCCTAGCGCACCACTACTTCGACACCACTGCGCCCACGACTAACTCGGCGCCTCCTTGCGCCCGCGGCTCCACGGCGACTTCCTCGACACCGGCTACCCCGACTCGACATCGACCACGACATTCTTCGCACGGCTACCTCGACCACAGCTCCACCACCCACGCTCTTGGGTACCTCGACAAACGGCACAAAGGGCTACCGCCTGCTTGAGCAACCTCGTCGGTTTCCACTCCAGCCACGCCTTTCGCGATGCGTCGACCGTTACGACTGTAGGGGGTGTCCGTCGGCTTGCCTTCGGATTCTTCTCCAGTCTCACCGTCTGCATCGCTACCGTTGTGACTGCGGGGGGATGTTGAGTATACTGTTTATTAGGAAAGACGAGATAGACTAGGATTTGTTCTGGCTTGTCTCGTACTCCAAGTAGATGATTGTACTCCTATATATATGCCCACGAGGCTCAAGCAATACAACAACTATTCCACCAAACCTCTCTCTCCCTTCTAACATCCACGGCATGTGTTTTGACACTCCAGCTAAATGAGTGTATCATCCATCCGATGGAGGAACTATTCCATCCTTCATCCACCCGCATTTCGTCACCGGCTCCATTTTCGTCCCCCCAATGGAGTTTGTGCACCCTTAACTTGCAACTCATATCATAAATTAGTTATCTTTGTTGCAAGTCCACCCTCAACTCGCAACTACACATGTATTTATTTTTCATCCCAGTTGCAAGTCGGTCCTTGAGTTGCAACTGGGCTTGTAGTTTTCATAGTGTCTCGGTTGCAAGCCAACCTTCGACTCGCAACTAGGCTTGTGTTTTATTTTTCATCCCAGTCGCAAGTCCACCCTCGACTCGCAATTGCGCCCATAGTTTGTTGTTGTCTTAGTTGCAAGTCCATCCTTGACTCGCAACTGGGATGTGTTTTGATTTTCATCTCAGTTGCAAGTCCACCCTTTACTCGCAATTGGGCCTGCAGTTTTTCTCTTTCATCCCAGTTGCAAGTTCACCCTTGACTCATAACTAGGCTCTTAGTTTCGTAGTGTCCCAGTTGCAAGTCCACATTTGAATCGCAACTGTATATGTTTGTTTTTCATCCCAGCTGCAAGTCCACCCTTGAGTCGCAACCGGGCCCATAGTTTTGATGTCGTCCCAGTTGCAAGTCGACCATTGATTCGCAACTGGGCTCGTAGTTTCGTAGTTGTCCCAGTTGCAAGTCTACCTTCAAACCGCAACTGGGCTCATAGTCTCCCCATTGCAAACCAACGCGTCGACTCGCAACTAGGCATGCATTTTGTTTTTCATCCCAGATGCAAGTCCACCATTTGACTCGCAACTGGGACCGTAGTTTGATTCATCCCGGTTGCAAGTCGGATCTCGACTCGCAACTATGCTCATTTGTTTCGTAGTTATCTTTTTTTAGTTGCAAGTTCATGCTCGACCCATAATTGGTCCCATAGTTTGTTGTTGTTCCAGTTGCAAGCTCACCCCTCGACTCACAACTAGGCCTATAGTTTTTTGTTGTCCCAGTTGCATGTTCACCCTTGACTCGCAACTGGGCTGATTTGTTTTGTAGTTGTCTTAATTGCAAGTCCATGCTTGACGCAACTGGGATCGTAGGTTGTTGTTGTCCCGGTTGCAAATTCACCCTTCGACTCGCAACCGGGCATGTCTTTTTATCCATGTTGCAAGATAACTATCGACTCACAACTTGCACCACATATTTTTAGAAGCACCATGTTTCAAAATTCACATAACATATTTTAGAAATTTTAGTTGCATTTTAAAAGGTGTTTCCAAATTTTTGGAAATTTTAAATTCATGAGCAATTTTGATTTTTTTTAAATCTATGAACATTTTTGTCATACCACCGAACAATTTTAAATTTCAAGAACTTTTTTTCAAATTGGTGAAAATTTTAAAACATATTGTTCACCATATATTAGAACATGTTCATTAACAATTTTCTAATTTGAAAATATTTTATTTAAATTCATGAACATGCGTCTTTATTGAAAATTAATGTACAAAATGTAAGGGTGAAAAATGCAAAAACCAGAAGGCAGAAGTTTTTTTTTCTATCGTAGACTACTTTTTTTCTATCGTAGACTACTGGAAGCTAGCGATCAGAGACGTACTGTGTAAAAAGATAGCGATCAGCGCAAGAACAAACAAATCCTGGTAGCACTGTTCAAAGCTAGCGATCAATTTTTCTTTATACGAAAAGCTAGAGATCAGATATGCCATACCAGTAAAACTAAAGTAGTGGCTTGACGTATAGGCCAGCCCATCCGGCGGACGTGCGCGCAAGCTGATTTGTTTGTTTTGTGCTTTGACAAACAAAATCAAACAAACAAAAAAACTAAAACAAAATGATTAAGTGAGGTGGCGCTGACATCATACTTATATGGGACATTGTTAGATGTGAGATATTATCTCACATCTAGATGTAACATAGTCTGACCCTTGTTTAGATGCGATTGCAAATGAACAAACGGATCGTGCCTCGCCTTTGGTGAGTTCTCATCCGAGCTCTCAATGGCGGCGCTTTTTAAAATTCCAATATTTTCTTTTATAAATACATGAACATTTTTTAGAAAGTGCATGAACACGTTTCAAATTACACTGATGTTTTTTAAATACATAAACACTTTCAAAGATGCATGATTTCTTACTTACACTGACAATTTATAAAAATACATGAACACTTTTTAAAAATATGGGAACACTTTTTAAGTTACATGACGATTTTTTAAAACTGTTTGAATAGTTTTAAAAATCCATGAACATTTGAAAAAAGCTTCAATGCTTTTCAAATTACATGAACATTTTTTTTAGAAAACTCCGTGAGCACTTTCTATTAAAATACATAAATATTTTTTTAGTGACTGAACACTTTTTAAATTACATGAGCGTTTTCTAAAAGATATGAACACTTCCCAAATTACACAAAATATTCGAAGAACTTAAAAACTTTCTTTAAAGTTACATAAACATTTTTTAATGTGTGAACAATTTTCCAAAACTACATGGATATTTTTTCAAATACATAACTTTTTTATATGTACAAATATTTTTTACAACACACAAACCATTTTTGCCTTTTCGTAGCAGATTATGTCTTCTTATTATGTGTGTGTGTGTACGTTATAACAAAATTAAAAAAATATCACATACACGTTTAGGGATTTTGTGCTCACATACACTCACCATACGCCACCCCTTGGTTGACTAAATCGGGAAATGTTTCCTTCCAATGAAGGAACTTCGCTAAGTCTAGGGCTAATTACACTATAAGGAACCTAACCATTTGAGCTAGGTTTCATTGGTCTAGGCGCTGGTGAAGGGAGCTTCTATTCGTAGACAACAATCGGCGATTCCGCTTGTGCTCTCTTGAGAAAAAGAAAGTTGCTCGCTCGGAAAGGAAAACCTGCTTGAAGAAAACCATTCAGTCTTGGGTCCTAAAAAACCAGCTACCCGGTGTTTTTACATGATTAAGAAAATGTATTACGTATTACAAAAAAAAAACTCATGAAGTTTATGAAGTCACAAAATTTTAAAAATGTTGCAAATTATTGTTTTAAATAACAGTGCACCCTCGGTACCCCTTACAGGCAGTACATCGCAACACCCCTATTCGCTGGAATAAGAAGAATAAATCAATGGTATATCATGCTAAATATCAAGAAGTTCTCATGGTGTGTGCATACAGGTAAATGATGTATGCAACTATGAAGGCATCGACCTCACATTCTTAGGATACAACTAAAGAATGGTGCTTTAAGCAGTAATATGAAGTGATGGACAAACAGATAAAAAAACATGGGAACACACAAAGAGGATAAAGCGAGTGTTGGGTTGAGTGCCATATCCCTCTTGTGCTATATATATAGATTCAGAATATCCTCCAGACCACAACCGTTAATTACCACCTTTCATTTCACTTAATAATAATCTTCAACCAGAGACGGCTGAAGGTGAATAATCATCTCATAACAAACATATAGACAATAAACTGAACACATTCAACGGCAACACCATGCGAGATGCGCAATGGCTCAACCGCTTTCCGGTGCGCTTCACCGATGCTGTCAGCCTGAATGCGATTACCAAGTTGAGCAGATACAGCATAAATCTGACAGCCCATCGTCTAATTCCACAAGGAAATCTGGAAACGGATGGAGTACGTTGCGTTTGATCGAATAATCCACGCAACCACGAGATCTGATCTCGGTTCACTCGTCCCGCTCACCTTCGACGAAGTAGGCCGCCGACGGCCACCCCCGGGCGGTCGAAAGGGAGAGCACCTCCTCCTCCGTCATGGGGACGTAGGGGTCCGCCTCGTACGACACCTCGCCGACCCCGGACGCCGCGATCCGGCCGACGAGCTCGGCGACCCCGCGGGGGCGACGCACAGGGGGCACCCAGAAGGACCCGCCCGGCACGAAGGGGAGCCACTCGGGCGTGGCCCGCCGCACCATCACGCCGTGGATGGCCTCCTCCATGCGCCGGATCCCCACGACCTCGACCGAAGACGGGTCCTCCTCGGCGAGGTCGATCTCGATGAGCTCGACCTTGGTGGAGAGCCCGCGCAGCGGGAGGAGGGAGGCGGTGGCCGGAGAGGGGCGGGCTAGGCTTTGCGCGAGCAGGCGAGCCATCGGGGACGGAGGCGAGGAAGATGCGGAGATGGGGAAGGGAAATGGAAGGAGATAGGGACCGGGAGATGTGCCGCGACTTTGCTAGCCAGGTGGTAGGGCCCGAGTGTTGCTAACGTGGGCCCGCTTCTCAGTGACGTAGTATAGGTCGGGCCGGTAGGATCTGGCGTACCATTGGAGGATGTACTATCAAAGTGATTCCTCGTGTCATCCTCTACCTGAACTTGCCAAATCCGGCACACCCTCGGACACTGATCGGGTACTTCCTATATCCACACCTTCATACCCGCGTATTTCATATCCTCCTATATTTATACTAAACCATGCAACATTGATAAAAACTACGTTAATCATGAGTGGGCATACAAATGCACAATCGATTCATCAAAAGGTGACAACCGGAGCATCAAAAGATAGCCAAAGTTCACACAATACACATAATAGATCGGACAAATTCAAACTACATCTAAAGACTTGAAATTAAGACGGATCTTCACCACTTCCTCGCCGGCCCTTTGCCCTTCCTGTCTCCGGCGCAGCTATAGGAGTCCGCGGCAGGAGGTGGGCCCCATCGGAGGAGGAGGAATCAAAGATAACGATGTAGCCTTGCAAGCGCCGGACGGCGCGGTCTTGCTTACGCATGAGCTTGGCCACCCTCGCCGCCTCTCGCGCTGCCTCCACCGGCTCCCGCTCGGATTGCTCAATGCCGAGCCGGAGCTGCTTGGCGTTGAGCCGCCGGCCTTCGTCTCCGCCATAATCTGTGACTGGCGGCACACCCACTCAAAGAGACGGTCCTCCTCGTCGGCACCCGGCGACGGCAGGCGAACCACTAACGCTCCCGTTGTCGCGGTCGTCGGCGCCGGAGAGCACGCGCTCTGTCGTCGCGGTCGTTGGCCGCCTCCGCCTCCGCCACCATCAACCCTCTCTCCTCCTCCCTCTTCTCTCCTTCATCCAGCCGCGCCACCGCTGACACCAGCGAGCACGCGCTCCACCGTCATGGTCGTCGGTCGCCTCCACCACCCACCCTCTCTCCTCCTCCCTCTTCTCGATCAACGGCCGCTACTGAGTGATGAAGAAGACGACGTCCGCTCAACACCGACGATGCAAGGCATCGTCCACTTCTGCAACATCACTGTTATTGCAAAAAAAACAAATCTGCAACAACACCGATGTTGAAATAAAACGCACCAAGACCTCTGTTGCAAAAAAATCCGCAACAATACCTTTGTTGCAAAAAAAACCGCAACACAGCCTCTGTTGCACAAAAATTCTGCAACACAATCTCTGTTACAAATGTTTCTGCAAAGTTGAGAAAATAATTTCACCCCGCTAGATCCGTGTCAGATCCGGAGTCGCGAGCAGCGGATCTTTTTGGATCTTTTAAAAAGATCCGCCGGCCGACGCGTAGCAGCCCCCCAAAGACATTTTCTTTTCTTTCATGGGAATTGTTGGAGATGGTCTTACGTGCTATTGAGATAGTTGAACCCGAACAATGGGTTTCTATAGAAAATTAAAGTGCAATGTCCTCAGATACATTGGTGACTAGGCATTACTTACCTTTTTTGGACTTCAACTTCGTCTAGGATATCAAGATCTGATGACAGGTGTAAGGACACCCCCAGTGACCAATGTGGCGGCACTTAGATGTGTGTTGGATTTATTGATATACAATAAAATATCTTGCTGAAGTGGGATTGCTTTCTTCATTTCAGTTGGGTAATTTGGTTGTATTGTAAAGGTATTTTTAAAACAACTCCTGGCTAGATCACTTGTAGACAGATGATATTGTTTCGTTTGGATGAAATGCAATGTCTACCATCTCAAAACTCCAACTCTCAAAGGTGTCCTCTAGATTTTTTATCGAAATAGACCACCTGACGAACGGATGAAAGTGACAAAAAGGACCCCCTCGGCCGTGGCGGCAGGCGCGCCAGGCCCTGAGGCGGCAGGGACCCACCAGGCCAGCCCGTTCTATCGCCAGCGCCGTATCTCGTTTTGCGCAGCGTGCCGCCTGACGTCGTGGCGGCAGGGCTTGCCGTCTCGCGCCGTGGCGGCAGGTGCCACGTGTCGCCTGGCGCGCCTGCCGCCACGGCCGAGAGGGTCCTTTTTGTCACATTCATTCGAAGGAAGTCTTTTTTGACAATTCAGTTCGGCAGGTGGTCTATTTCAACAAAAAATCTGTCCTCTAAGGCCACTGTATAAAAGGTTCAAAAGTTGGTCCAAAAGATGGAGGTTTCATTCTTTTTGCTGGTGAAGTTGTGAAGCCAGGATTTGAAAAAATGTTGAAGGGTGCTAGGGGAGGGGGCATGTGTCCCCTCTAAAGCTGAAGTGGCTCCACACATGGCCTAAAGAACTAATTTTTGGCGTGAGGGGTTCATGCAAATTCAGCCTCATGGTTGTTGTTTCAAGAGTTTAAATTTATAGGCTATATTATACTCGTATGAAATCAATGATCCCATTGAAGGAGTACAATCTCCAATTTGATGCTGGTAGTGACATGATGTGGGTTTATGCATAAGTTGCCCAACATCAAGTGATCTCAATGTGGGAAAATAAATTTCATATCTCTTATCCACCATTTTAAAAAATATATCATTTTTTGAAATATTGTGAAGGGATAATGTCTTCTCATTCTATTTCATTTTCCCCATATCAAGTTAAAGACTACAAGCCAAACTCTCCTTGAACACCGTCTAGGATACCATGCTATTAGGATAGGTGTGAAAATGCCCCCGAAACCAATTATGCATTTTGTTATACATCAGAATCTCCGAGCAAATAATATGGGTACACTCAAACGTATGTGGGTGGAAGTGCCACATTAGGTACTACATGTCCGACAAAGTCATGGCAAATGAGCAGGTTACTAGGCGTACTGTTTTATTTTTTTCGACATAGTTTCTTTGGGAGTCCTCCGCCATAAAATTTTACAACAACAATGTAGACTTAACATTAGAAATTCTAAATATGAATATATAGGAAAAGTTAAACATAGCTAAAAGTGATGTTGTAATGATACTCCCTCCGTAAACTAATATAAGAGCGTTTAGAATACTAAAATAGTGATCTAAACGCTCTTATATTAATTTACAGAGGAAGTATTTATTAAACATTTGTATCAACTAGAGGCCAGAACATGTCTACATATAAAAGATTATTGGGTTTGAAAAAAAATGCGATGTCTCTCATGTAGAAAACAAACTCTCAAGGGATGTCTCCTAAGGCGTTTTCTCACTTCCCGAAAGGTTCAAAATATGGTTCAGAAGATGGAGGTGACATTCATGTTCGTGCTGAAGTTGTAAGCCATGTTCTGAAAAAAGATAGGGAAAAGTATATTTTTCGTCCTCAAACTTTATCGGAAGTATAGAAATGATCCCTCAACTTTGAAACCAGCAAAACTTAATCCCTCAACTTATCAAACCGGATTAGTTTAGTCCCTAATACCGCTTTTGTGGTTTCGTGCTGACATGAAGCTGGTTTTGACTAAAACTTGACATGTCATACAAGTTTGACCGCCGTGTAACTGTCCTTGATCTCGCCACGACGCGCAGCGGCGCTACTGTAGGAGGGCTAGCAAGGAGCGCCCGGCGCCGGTGGCCACGGCCTGCAGGATGAGCTACAGCGAGTAGAAGCAGCTTGCCGGTGCAGAGCACCGAACCCATGTCTCAGTTGCCGCTGTCGTCGGGAGAGGAACGGTGGTTGTCCCGGTGGGATGTCGGGCGGCGAGATTAAGATGGGTGGTGGGCCAGGGTGTGACCTGGGCATCCTTATGTAAGGTGAGGAGCATGGCGCTGCCCAAGTGCCCATGCCGAGGAGTTCATGGAAACTGCCTCGTGCATGGCATGCCAAGCAGGTGACCTTGGCCTGTCCTGCGATGGTGCGGACGGCGAGGCGCTCTTAGCGGAGTTCACGGCAGACAACAAGCTGCAGCATTGCCTCGCTGTCGCAATTGGTGCACCGTGCACGGACGCCGCGTCCCACGTTTGCCCTGACATGAACGCCGTCTCGGTCTGCGTGCTTCCGCGGTCCGCCGTCCGCGTGCTCCACGAATCCAGCGACCTGTCGTGCAGGTAGTGCATCCCCTTCAGCTCCTCGTACCCGTCGTCGTTGACGCCTCCGTGCGGGGTGCGGCAGGCACGTGACCTCCTCGTGCATGCGCCGATCGCACCGCAGGTTGGCGGCCAGGAGCCAGAAGAACCTGGTGAGAGCGGAATACGTCGTTTCTTTCTCGGCCAGCATGAAGCTGACCACAACATCCCGCGGGAACCGCCGCTTCGTGTCCGGCGAGCCAACCATCTCGCCGAGCTCGCCGCCGCTGCGAACCACGATAGCAGGTGCTGCTCTTGCTCGCCGTCCTCAGCCGAGCTCCGATGACGTTGGACGCTCTGTGGCGGCCGAGCTCGGCCCGCCGCTGCGACGTGCTCACCACCTAGCTCCGGTGCGGACGAGTTCGACCCCGATGCCGCTGCCAACTCGATCTATGCCACCCGGCGATCCCTCGTTACTGCCTTCTGCTCGCCGCCGTCACAAGCTCTGAATCGCTCAACCTCAGGACGGAGACATGCCGCCAGGAGCGGCTGACACCGCACACCATGTGCTCGACAAAATGGCTACAACAATGATAAGAAGAAATGAAAGAGTAATATTGCCACGTCGACGAAGAAAGGTCAAAACCAGGCTAGGTCAACTCAAAAACCACTTCAAGTGAGCAGAGGGACTAAACTAATCCGGTTTGATAAATTGGGGGACTAAGTTTTGCTGGTTTCAGAGTCGAGGGACCATTTCTATACTTTCGAGAGAGTTCAGGGACAAAAAATATACTTTTCCCAAAAAGATAAGGGCCCCGGGGACACATGCCCCTCTAAACCTAAAGTGGCTCCACCCATATAGTAGATAAAATACTTTTGGCGTGAGGATTCTTATGCACATTCAGCCTTGTGATTGTTAAGATTGAATTTATAGGTTGTACAAACCGGGATACCGTCAAATGATTTACACTCTCC